ACGTTTGCAAACGTTCGTCCGTACCAGACCTCGTCGATCCAGTGACTAAATCGGGCTGTTTCTTAACAGAAATTGCGTAAAAATGGTGAATTTCTCGAGCCTTGAGGCCGTCGGCGACATCTGAAGATGCAAGCCTCTTGTGCTGGCGAAACGTCGGGAAAAAATATTTTCAATCTGGAAATGGAAAAATTGAATCGAGTTTCTTCTCTTCTGTTTGCTCCGTTGTACAAAAAAAAATGTTTTCTAGGGCTGCTTTTGTTGCAGGGCTTCGCTCTGATCGCACTTTTGCTCCGAAACTGTTCGCGAATCATCGCCAACTTGCAGTTCGATCCAGTAAAGAGATGAAGAGTTTTCGTAATAATTCGCAGATTTACATTTTCTCTGAATAAAATGCTAAACACCCTCGATCTTTAGAGTGCATTTTTTCAGTGGTATCAAAGTATGCAAAAATATTTAAGCAACAGTTTGGATGGATTGTCGAGTGCAAATCACTTTTGCGCTAAATGAGGAATCTTTAGGGAAAAACTTTCGAAGATGTTAATAATTGAACGCGTGAAGAATAAGAAGGAAACCCAATACACAACTCGAATGAACTTGACTTCCAACATGTTCAGTTTTGTTCGAAAATTTAAAAAAAAAATGATTTTTTCCAGGTTCAGAAACCCATGGATGTCTTCCGTCCGATTTTGACTGTGGGGATGGCCAATGCATCCCCAACTACCTCCGATGCTCCCAACGGGCGGAATGCAGCAACGGCGAAGACGAACGAAACTGTCCTGGCGGTAAGCCCTGATTGGTATCCCCACCAGACTTGCACTCGAAGGACCATCATCGACCCTGATGATGGCTCCCGTTGCATGAAACACCCCGCAAGAGCTTACCGAATGCCGCTTTGATTTGCTAGGCTTTCTCAATGATTTTTTCGTGTGTTTTCAGTGCCTTTTGATCGAAATTCTGGTGACGGAACTCGGGCCGGTTCTGAAGGTTATTTTTACCATTCAAGCGCTTGGCCTGAAAAATAACCTTTAGCAAACCAGCCCCAGACTTCTGGCTGCAAATTGGCTACGTTTACACATTTAACCTTTTTGCATGTTTCACACACTCAGAAGCGTCTCAGTCCGGATTTAGGTGCGGCTCAGGAGAGTCGATCCGGCTGGATCAGCGCTGCGATCGTGAATACGACTGTCGAGATCAGAGCGATGAGAAAAATTGTCGTAAGTTTTCAGAGTTGCCACTCACTTTGTGTACACCTGCGGTCGATCGTCGATTGGTTTGCGTTTGATGAACTCGCCCTGATCGAATCCATAAATGCAACAGTCGGGGCGAAAATGCGCGTTTTTATCAATCAAATCAAATGCCTTTGATCGCTTGCAATCATCCAATCGGGGCCAGTTTCATCAGGTAAACCGCAACTTCTTTGCCCAATTGATCCAGCCTTTAACGGGGGCGGCTTTTGATATTGTTGTTTGAAAGAATAATCAGACTATCGGGCTTAAGACGTTTCGCAAGCACGAGTGGCTTGCAACCTCAGAAGTGCTTCACAGGCAATATTGAATGGCTGATGCAGACTTCCATTGTCTTACAAAGATGTTTTATCGCAACGTTTCGGTTGGTAGTATCTCCGACCGTTTTCAGACACACCAAAGAGCACCAAAGTTTTCAGTCTATCCGGATCGACGGAAGTCTGAAAAGTTGGAGAAACTCATTTGAATCGCCCAAGATGATTATTTTTGCGCTTTTTGTAAATTCATGTTTCATGCGACTGCAGCCGCTCACATAAAAATTCATAACTTCCGATGCAGAACGCGTAGCAACCTGATATTTTCAGAATCTATCGCGCATAGTTCACTTTGAAACCTCTGAAAATTTCATTTGGATCGCTTGCGAAGCTAATTTTTGCGCTCTTGGTAAACATTAGCCTAAAAAGTAGATTTTACGGCAAGTGCAGCATCTCTAAAAAAAATCAGAAGTTTCGATCGGCGACGATTAGCAACTTGACATTTTAAGGGTCCATCAAGATCACTTGCGTCTCCAAATTGCAAAAAAAATCATTTAAATCGCTTCAGATCCTGATTTTTGCGCTCTTTTAATAGTTGGCCAAAAAAACTAGATTGTATTGCAAATGCGGCCTCTCCAATAAAAATTCGCAAATTCCAATCTACACCCATTAGCAATTTAAGATTCTCACAGTTTATCGACATCACTTAAATCTGAAAACGCTGAAAAACTCACTTAAATCGCATCGGATGTTGAGTGTTGCGCTATTTGTGAATGTTGGCGCAAAAATTATGTTTTATCTTCACCCCTCCAATAAAACTTTATAACTTCCGATCTAGAGCGCGTGGGAACTTGGGGCTTTGCCAGTCCATCGAACTCAAATCACTCTGAAAACTCTGAAAATTTCATTTAAATCGCTTCAAATGCTGATTTTTGCGCTCCTAAAAACTTACGATTTCATGCGATTGAAGTCGCTTGTTTCAAAATTCATAGCCGTCTAAACCCAGCAGATACTTGAAACTTTCAGAGTTGATTGAGTGCACTTGCATCTAAAGACCCGGTAAAATTCATGTTTATCTGATAAGATGCTCAATATTTGCCCTCTTTGGGAGCGTTGGCTTAAAAATGAATGTTTTCTCGCAAACGCAACTTCTACAATAAAAACTGAAAAAGTTTCCATCTGAATGAGCAGCAACTTGATATTTTCAAAGTCAATCTAGAACAGTTGAGCCTTAAAAATCTGAAAATTTAATTTAAATAGCCTCAAATCCTGATTTTTGCGATCTTTGTAAACGTTGGCGTAAAAATTCAAGTTTTATTGCAAATGCCGCCTCCAAAAAAATCATAAGTTCCGACCTGCAATCACAAGATACTTGATATTTTCACGGTCAAAACCTAAAAAGCGTAGGAACTTGACATTTTCCTAGTCTATCGAGTTCATGTGCCGCTGAAAACTCGGCGAAGTTCGTTTTAATTGCAACATTTGCGCTTTCTGTAAACGTTGGCCTAAAAATGTGTGTTTTTCGGCAAATGCAACCTCTCCATCAAAAATTCACCAGTTCCGAACTGCAACGCGTAGAAACTTGACATTCTCAAAGTCAATCTGAAACACTGGAGTCTGCACAGCGTGAAAAACTCATCTACATCGCACTAAGGGCTGATTTGTGGGTCTATTGTAACTGTGGGGGTAAAAATGTATGTTTTATCGCAACTGCAACCTCTCTATAAAAAAATCATAACTGTCGACCTAGAACGGATAGGAACTTGACATTTTCACAGTCTAATGTACTCATGTGATCTGAACACTGTGCAAATTTCAATTAAATCGCATCACAAACTGATTTTTGCCCTCTTTCTAAACGTTGGCCTAAAAATGGGTGTTTTACCGCAAATGCAACCTCTCCATAAAAATTCACCAGTTCCGAACTGCAACGCGTAGGAACTTGACATTGTCAGAGTCAATCTGAAACACTTGAATCTGCACAGCGTGAAAAACTCATCTACATCGCACTAAGGGCTGATTTTTGGGTCTATTGTAACTATGGGGGTAAAAATGTATGTTTTAGCGCAACTGCAACCTCTCCATAAAAAAATCATAACTATCGACCTGGAACGGATAGGAACTTGACATTTTCACAGTCTAATCTATTCATATGCACCTGAACACTATGCAAATTTCAATTAAATCGCATCACAGACTGATTTTTGCCCTCTTTGTAAACATTGGCCTAAAAATGTGTTTTATCGCAAATGCAGCCTCCAATAGAAAATCATACGTTGCGATCTAGAAATAGCAACAACTTGAAATTCTCACAGTAGATCGAAAACTGGGAAAAATTCATTTTGATCGCATCAGATGCTGAGTCAGCGTTCGCCTGAAGACGAGTTACTACAAACCGAAACGTTGTGATACAAACATATTTGTAGACTCGCAAAAGCAAGGTGAAAAATTCTAAAACTAACACTAAAACCTTTCGAGCAAAGGCCCTCTGAGGATGCAAGCTACTTGTGCGTTCGAAACGTTGAAGCCCCACTCTTCTGGTAGTCATCTAGAAGTTATCAAAAGCCGCCCTAAACCATGTGGCTTGATCGACATTTTAAAGGCTTCTTCTTAGTGTTCTGTAGTGTTCCATTTGTGTCCTGCTGGGGCCTTTGCAAGGCCCCCCATTCAATCTCTGTCTTAAGGCTTTTCCATGGATTCTCGAGCAAGAAAGCGAAGCTCCGGATGAGCTTCGCTCATCAACCATCTGCCTAAATGTCCTAATTCTTCATTGTCGAACCATCTAACCAATCAGTGTCGTACGGGTTAAAAAAACCGAAAATCTGCTCCAATGAATATTGTAAAATTCCAGCCTGTTTGGATCAGGACTTCCATTGCGACAACGGCTTTTGCATCCCACACGAACAACGATGCGACGGCATCCGACAGTGTCAGGACTCTTCGGATGAACGAAATTGCGAAAGTATGCAAAAATCAACGCACATCCCATTGGTCCGGGCGCCTCGAGCCTTGCCCCCATTGGCCGGCCTGAGATTAATGGTCGCGTGATCGGAAAAAAGCCAGTTTTCAGGCCAAACAAGCCGTAATAATAAAACTGTTTAATGAGCTGATAAGAGTGGAGTAGCGTGCAGCACTTAGAGATAGAGCGGTTGAGGCGTTTGTCATAATGCAGGCGGGACTTGAGGCGCTCCGACCATGTGAGGCAATTGGTTACTTATATGGAGTACAAGTAGTTGTTCCAAAAGGTTTTGCTTGGGCATTTTGGCTTCGCACAGAATTTCCTCCTTACGTCTTTTACTGCAGATTGATCCGCCAATCAAGAGGGCCCACCTAGAG